TAGCTGGGTCTCGGTGGGACGCTGCCCCTCTGATGGACAGCGCCAGTGCCCACAAGCCATGTCTTTATTTTATAGCAGATGCCACGAGGCAAAGTAGGGGCGTGATCACGTTGTTTACAGCATTCTCGTGAGTTTCAACCTCACTCAACTACATGCACCCGAACTCTAGCACAAGGCACGTGGGGCCACGTGTTCGGACCATAGGTTCAAGCTTACAACTATAGCTGTTGGCTATAATTGTGCTGGGAGGGCCCTGCCCTCCAGCTGGGACTTGCACGTGGCAATGAGAGGACCCTGTCCTTTCATTAGTCCGAGGCTTGAACCTGGCCAAAACACCGTAACTGCGCCCCACAGAGAACTGCTGTATTAAATGATAAACAGGGAAGAATATCAATTATAGGGAAATGTTTATATGTTTTGTTCTTTTGCAGGGACCTATCAGATCATGGGGCAGAATGTTACAATTTGAACACTTGAGGAATGATGCTGAATCCTTCCCTTTTCTCTCCAAACCCTGTGACAATAGGATGGGGACTTGGCTTTATCGTTTTCAAAGCACTTTTATATCAGAATGTATTCGCCTTTAATGAAAATCCAATATATATTGACTAATGGTCATGAGAGGCTTTTACTCATTAATAATAGAAGATATTTCAAAGCACTCTACCCACATAGATTAATCAATATCATCATCAGAGAAACCGTTCCAGAACAGAAATGGTATTGCTGTCAGCCAAAGTAGTCTTAAGTTTTCGTCGTCCCTGTACTTTATAGCACTGTTGGCACTCAGTTCTGTATGAATAGGAACCCCATGTTTACATCTGGTGGTACTGGAGGTTTCAAACTTGGTGAGATGCCCCAGTCTACCCTATTTCAATAACTGGCCCATGTTTCTCGTGTCTCATTTAAGGTTGCACCACATGGCAGGCCAATAGGAAGACAGCCAGCCCAGCCCTGGGAGCTGCCTCTGGACCAGGTGAGAGAACGAGGTGGCATATTACTTCCCTTCTGCCTGTGGTGAGCGAAAGGCTAAGTCAGTGGTGCACAGTAGGCTAAATAGCCATCTCAGATGGTGACGACAGAACAGTGAGTTTATTTAAGGAAAAGGGGGTGGGAGGTGGGGCTACCCAAAGGGAAGGGCTACAGGGAGGAAAGGGGGCCTTGGAGTCAGGTTCAGGGGTAAATCCGGGACGAGCTGCTGCTGCCCACTGCTCCCCTGGTTGTAAGTCTCCTGGGGTCCCTTAGAGGTTAGCCGTGGTCGGCAAACTGTGGCTCAGGAGCCACATGCGGCTCTTTGGCCCCTTGAGTGTGGCTCTTCCTAAGCCTTAGGAGTACCCTAATTAAGTTCATAACAATGTACCTACCTATATAGTTTAAGTTTAAAAAATTTGGCTCTCAAAAGAAATTTCAATTGTTGTACTGTTGATATTTGGCTCTGTTGACTAATGAGTTTGCCGACCACTGGTTAGGGCATATGATAGGTGCGTGCTGGGGAAGGGAAGGAGAAGGGATGGCGTGGGTGTGCTCCTTGGAGGGAGGCAGGCATAATTAACACACGCTCCTTTGTCAGGAGTATAGTTCTCTCTCGTGCAGGTGGAAATCTCAGTGTCTCAGTAGATTATTCGTCAGCTTTCCAGGTGTGCTCTTTCAGGGTCCTGGTCTCCACTGATTGGCCGGTTCCAGGGCAGGGGTCTTTAGTCAATGCAGCTGGTCCCAAGGCAGCCACAGCGCCCCCCACTTGTTTGTTGTTGCTGCTTTTCTGGGTCTGAAGCTGAAACACAGCTGAAGCCTGGATGCTGTCCTTGGGGAGGAAAAGGTCAGGGGGTCCAAACTGCATGGCCAGGGATCTGCGAGGGGAAGATAGGTTGCCCTGGGGCGAGGTGCCAGTGTTGCCCTTGGTAGGCATGCGGAGCTTTCTGCCCTGGTGAGTCTCTGTACCTGGCCCATCGTCCTTGCTCTGGAGGAATCTAACAGTGACAACGTGGGGAGAGAGTCCTGCCTAAGAATGTGATTGAAGGTGTTAAATAATTTTAATTTCAAAGCTTCTGCCAGTTATTTGTCTAAAGGCCATAAAGCTCTGTTCTTTGGAAACTTACCATAATGGGTCTGCAATATTAAGCATCGGTAGGCACTGGCCGTGGCCTAGCTGACAAAGGTTTTCTAAAACAGTCCAGGTAAGCAAATATTTTAGGCTCAGGAGGTCTCCATCCTGACCACTCACTCACCTCTGTCATTGTCATGCAAAAAGCAGCCCAAAACAACTTTTTGTTCCCATAAAACTTTACAAAGGCGGAGGGCCAGATTTGGCCTGGGGGCCATATTTTACCAATGACTGGTCTAGAAATAAGAAAAGAGCCCTAACTGGATTGGCTCAGTGGATAGAGCGTCGGCCTGCGGACTGAAGGGTCCCAGGTTCGATTCTGGTCAAGGGCATGCACCTTGATTGCGGGCACATCCCCAGTAGGAGGTGTGCAGGAGGCAGCTGATTTCTGATCGATGTTTCTAACTCTCTGTCCCTCTCCCTTCCTCTCTTTAAAAAAATCAATAAAATATATTTTTTTAAAAAAGAAGAGAAAGAAAGGAGAATTGATAATAGCTCTGCTTAATAATGCAAAGTGGATCTCCCTGTGCATCTGGGGCATCTTAGCAGGTTACAGTATCATTATGATGAGTATCCCTGCTGAGAATGTCTTGTTTTACTTTAGGAGGCATGGGGGTGAGGAAGAAGAGATATTAGCAGAAGGAAGTTCAAGGAAGGCATTGTTGGGAGAAGAGAGGGAAGACTTAAGGGGTCCATCAAGGGATGGTAAACTACAGGAGGGCTAGGAACTCCAGAAAGTAGCTATCCCTTCATTAGGGGAAGATGGTCTGCAGGAGCCTAATCAGCACTAGACTCTGGAAGAGGGCATCACATGGGGGGGCCATTGAGGAACACAGGCACTTGGGGAGCAATGGAGAAACAGGGTCAGTAAATGCCCTGTCTCCCTGTGTCCCCACTCTCTTGCCGGTGCCTCCCCCTCGCTGACACCAATTGGAAGAGAGAGGACAGGACGCCCAGGTGGTGCAGTCCCTAGCGAACAGTTTCCCAGGCACCGAGGGAGAAAGAAAAAGCCAGGATATAAGTGAGGAGAGGGAGACAGCTGTGCTATGCTCAGGACCCGCCACAGGTGACCACGGCATTGCAGGATGCACGAGGCAGCATGCATGGCTTTTGAGTTTATTAAGGCATAATTAAAATACAACACACCGCTCTTGCTTAAAGTGTGCAACTTGGTAAGTGTGGGCATACGTATGCATCCTGAAAACCATCGCCACAGCCACGCTAACGGACAACGAACATATCCCTCACCTGGAAAGTTTCCTGGGGCCCCATCGTAACCCCCTTCCATACGGTGCCATCTCTCACCTACAGAAAACCACCCATCTATCTGCTTTCTGTGACTAAGGCCTGGGTTACATTTGCTAGAATTTTATATAAAGAGAATTGCACACTATATACTTTTAAAAAAATACATTTTTATTGATTTCAGAGCAGAAGGGAGAGGGAGAGAGAGAAACATCAACGAGAGAAAATCATTGATTGGTTGCCTTCTGTACACGCCTCACTGGGGAACAAGCCGAAACCCGGGCATGTGCCTGACCAGGAATAGAACTGTCACCTCCTGGTTCGTAGGTGGACGCTCAACTACTGAGCCAGGCCGGCTGGGCCACACTATATACTTTTTTTGTGGTTGTTTGTTTGTCTGGCTGCTTATACTTAGCATAATTACTTTGATACTCATCCAGATGCTTGTGTCTAGACATAATTCATTCCTTTTTATGGCTGAGAAGGGTTCCACGGTAAGGAACACATTTGTTTATTCATTCACCTGATGGTGAACACTTGAGTTGTGTCTGCTTCTTCGCTATTACAAAGAAAGCTGCTATACATATGCGTGCGAACGTTTTTATAGGGACAGATAGTGGGTTGAATGGCAGTCCCCAAAGGTATGTCCAAATCCTCATGCCTGCAGCCTGCGACTGCGACCTTATTTGGAAATAGACGGATGGCAGGTGTAATTAAGTTGGGGATCTTGATATGAGATCTTCGTGGACGTGGGGTGGATTCTACACTCCAGGGACTGGCGTCCTTATAAGGAAAGGACGATTTGATACACAGAGAAAGGGAAGGCCACCTGAAGACTGAGTCGGAGATTCCAGCGTTGAGCCTACAAGCGAAGGGCGAAGATCATCTCGTCTGATAAAGGAGCCACGTCATTAAGACAGCTTCACCATCCAACACATGGATGCCCCGGAGAGCTGATCCTAAAACGCCAGTGTTTAGAAGAGAAAACAGAACTGCAAGAAGACGGCAAATCCATGATTACAGACGGATGTTTCCATACCCCTCTTCCGGTAACTGCTGACCAAGTAGATGGGAAAATCCCTAGAGAGAGAGAGAGAAGATTTGGGCCACACTGTCAGCCAGCATAGCTGGTCCGTCTCAACATTCCGCACAACATTCCTTCCCAGGGCTCCCAGGGCGTCTGCCCCAGAGAAGGCATTCTGGGCCTTCCAGCAGCCTCATTGCGTTTTTAAAAACCAGGTTAAACGGATTGTGCTCTCTGTCCGCAATGCCTCAGGGCTTGGGGTTGGCTTCTGTCTTTTTAATTCCCTGCTTAACATAAAAACCCTGCCCCGGAGGGTGGGGAGGTGGCTGTGAGCGGCACCTGGTCCCATCCTCTTCCTAACAAGCCCCCCCCCACTCCCCGCCAGTTTAAACCTGGACCCGCCCGTGAGGACTCACAGGTGTGGGCCCTTAAACGCTGCCCTTAAACCCGCCCCGGATCGGGCACCAGGCGGCGGCCCTGGGCCCTGCCTCGCTCCCCACGGCACGTAAAGCTCCTCTTCCCGCAAAGCCGAGCCGGCGCCCTAGACCTGGCTCCCTCCCGGCGCTGGGACCGCGCACCCCGTTCGGGAACCGGACCGAAGGGGGCAGGTGACTGCGCCCAGGTGAGCGCTGTGCAGGTGGGAAAACCCCCCAATGCCCGGCGCTGGGACCGTGCACCCCGTTCGGGAACAGGACCGAAGGGGGCAGGTGACTGCGCCCAGGTGAGCGCTGTGCAGGTGGAAAACCCCCCACGCCCGGCGCAGGGGCGCTGTCTGCATCCAGGCACCGACTCGGTCCCTAGGACGTGCCCGCGCCCCCCTCCTAAGTGCA